GGATTTCTGACCTGCAGAACTAAAAGAGAATAAATGTCCATTGTTTTAAGTCACGCTTGTGGTAATCTGATAAGAAGCAATATATTGACATATAGCCACTTCTTGCAAGGAATTTCATTTTAAGGAGGCATCAAAGTAACATTTTTCAATTCTTACAACCTACAAAGTAAACATTAAGATCTCCATTTTAATTAAGAAACCGAGACTTGGATAAATAACTTGCCCAAGGACACACGGCTCCAAATTGACAGGAGATAAATTCAAACACAGATTTGTCAGATCCCCAAGCCATAGAATAGTGTTTCCATTACAGGGGTGGTATTCACCCCAAGGTCCTGAATTAGGCAGATGTACCACAAAGGATGCCACTTAAGTAGGGAGGAAGAGGGGTAAGAAGGGCTCCAGGCCTCTCCACACTCGCTGCCAAACAGAGCAACTCAGATTTTCCATTTATACTGGGCATTTACGCAAGATTTCATTTGAAGAGCTTCACTGATTAAAAACTCACGTGTTTATAAACACAACTTGAACAACCCTGCAGTACATGATGCAATCATTCTTCCAGGAGATTCAGGGCTTCTCTTAATGAACTGTGATTGGATGGGTGTGATTAAAGGGCAGAGCTCCATCTCCTCAATGTCTCACACCATCTACCCTTGAAGATCACTATGGAACCTGACCTCAGGCAAGGCGCAGCCAGTCATCAGTCTGGGTAACTCAGCCCTGACCTCAGAGGCCATGGATGGCTTAGTCTTTGGCCTAAAACTAATCAAGCAACAGCCTAAATAAACATGATTTCCCAAGAGCTGGGGTTGCCCAGCTTTTTCTATAAAGGACCAGATAATAAATATTTCTTATTTGTGGGCTACATGGTCTCTATGGCAAATAGACCACTCTGCAGTGTAAGGTGAAGGCAGCCCTAGACTATACATAAGGAATGAGTGTGGCTGTGTTCCAGTAAGCTTTATTTATGAAAACAGTCATCAGGCTGTACTTTTGACGCATGGGCCATAATTTGCTGACTGCTGACTAAGAACATAAAAAGTGTAGGTATCTTTATCGTTGTATTTATTTAAGTCTCCTATAATATAGGCAACCATCTGAAAAAAGGGAGATTGTTTCCTCCAGTTACTAGTAGGCAAAGTTTTTAAAATCAAGAAAGGGTCACAAGGCATTAAGAATTAGACACTGATTCTAACTTCAAGACACAAGAAATAAAAAAATTAAAAAAAAAATAACTACGTACAAGGATATCAGGTAGGCAGAATTTTGGGAATTGTCTGAATTAACTGTATCTTACTGCCACTGAAAGAAATAAAATTTATGTTTTGTAAGAAAAGATAAAGTTTCACCATCAAGCTATTCTTATCCAAGATTTTTTTCTCAATAACTTCACCTGCTAGGGTGACTGGCTATGATCCTGTCTAGGCTAACTACTCAGAGACAGACTTTCTCAGCAGCAAGATGCCAACAAACAAGCACGTGATCAAGCCACTTGGCTTCCTGGAGGAGGGCTCCTCAAGAGCTTTCATAATTACCACTCTTATAGTGACTATATGCAGGGAGAAGGGAAGTAAGTACAGAGAGTGTCAGATGCACAACCAAGAGGAAAATGGGTCATAATGGAACTTTACTAACAAAAGAACTGAGGGTCCCTCGCTGTGCTCTGCCTGTAGGCAACCTACAGCCCAGTCCTATCTTAGATTCAGCACAGATGCCCAAGGCCAAACCTTCCACTTTTACTCAAGAGAAGTCAGAGGACACTGAATAAAAAAATGTACATAGATTATGTTTGGAGACAGGCTATATGGCAAATGAACTTAGCACGTTCTCACTCAGTTCTACAAGTACAAGCTAACGAGTTCTACAAGTACAAGTAAAAGCTATCCTTTGAAAGCTATATATACCGGCTGACTGGAATGAGATCCACTGCGCCCCGAAACTCTTAGATACGGTCTCACTGGGACCATTACACAAACACTAAAATTCAAATCTGAACTTACCTCACGAGAGGCATCCATAATAGAATTCTCATACCTTCAATGTGAACTCGTGTGCTGGCCTCCCAATCCTGTCCTCGGCCTCCACGCTGTACTCCCGCGCCAGGGGCACAGTGGGGTGGTAGAGGCGCCAGTGCTTCTCTCCCTCCAGCTGCAGGATGAAAACCTACAGAGAGTCACAGCACCGGGGCGTCAGAGAGCTTCCTGACAACAAGGCAACGTGATTCTGGAATATTAGCCCTCCGAGGGCTTAGATGAATTATAAGTTGCAGGTAAATAATAAAAATGAAAGATCAGATACATTTCATTCCACACTTAAAAGTTGCCACTACTGGTTTTCACTTTAAAACCAAGTAATCATAAACCCTGATATAGAAGGACAGTCATTCTTTTCACATTCATGAAACTTCGCTGAGTTCCTTATGTCTATCCCACTATATATCCACTATCTCATTCCTGTAAATCTTCTATCAGACAGCTGAAAGCCCATAAGCTCTGATGGAAAAGGCAAGCTTTGGCCAAGACAATGTCTGAAATCCTTGGCAGGTAGAAAAGCTTCAAGTTTTTTATTCTTCATTCAGCCAAAGATATTTTAACATTCTGTTAAAAAGTATTAAAAAATAAAAATAAAAGAACATGAACTCTTGGGAAAATGTATTGATATCAAATTGCTCTCAAAAGAGGGAAAAAGGACTTTTTACTAATTACTGTGTTCACACCTTGTATTAATAAAAAGATAAAACTACGAAATACCTAAGCCAGAGTGTTAACTTTTTTTGGAGCCACGAGAGAGGGAAAGCAACACTTGTCGAGGTGCCAGTGCTTAAGTGAAACGATGACCTTCATTCGAGCGGCCTCAAGATTTTCACAAGTGGAAAAAATATATATTTTTGGCAGCTACAGAAAAGGGACAGAATGAAAGCAGATGTAAGGATTGCTCATGATCGCATCTTATTAAAGAACATACATTGTGAAATTAAAGAAAAAGACAATTATGCTTTTCTGTAAACTCAATAAATACCCATTTAATAATGTGGCTCTTTATATTAATCGGGTTAGAAACAATCTTTCTCCCTGGAGAAGAAGGAGCAGGAAACCAGTTTGGTGGGATTAATTTTGGCCCAACATCTAGGGGAGGTCAAGATCTCCAGTGACCACACAAGCAGTGTGGACAGAGATCTGGCCCAAGAGCTGAACTGAACTCTGACAACTACCCTAACGTGGACTCATAGCAAGTCCTTCCCCAAGCTGAGCAATCTCCCTCCTCTTACCTCAACATCATCATAATGGGGTGGCAGGCCCTGAGATCCAGCAGGTGTTATGTACACATTCGAGCCAACCAAGGAGCCAAAGTAGCATTCCAGCTTCTCCTGGATCCTCCAAAGCTCATCCTAAAAAATAAAAATGAAAATAAAAAAGAGAGAGAAAGAGCAAAAGAAAGAAAAAACAGTGAGGGAGGGAGGGAGG